CTTATTTTTTAATTTATATATTTCATTTAATTTTTTTTAAATTTTAAATGTTTATTTATATTATTATATTATTGACAGACTAGTAGTTGACTAGTGGAAGAGGTAAAAATGTGGGTCTAAGTATTTAAATATTTATGCCCTTATAACATATACAATTTGTTAAAAAGGCATAAATAGTAAATAAATAGTTTCTTAAAGCAACAACAATTTGAGATTTGTGGACATTATGAGAGCTTTGTGTGATAAGTTCAGATATATCTGTATTCTATATATCTGTATAGCTTTTTTTTTTCGCCATTCCTTTTGTGAGTTAATGCACAGTAAGCGTCTAATAATATTGAAATGTAATTGCATTTTGTAGGATGATCCGCTGTCATCGCTGGACAATGAAGTGGGCAGCCATGTCTTCGAGCAGTGTGTGCGTCAGATGCTTTTGAAGTCGAATCGCACCATCATCCTGGTGACACAGCAATTACAGTTGATCAAGGAGGCGGATTATGTAAGTGGCCCCCTCGGGGCTAGACAGCATTTCATATTCAAATTTCTTAGCGCTGACAACTGTCCAGTGTTGCCGGTCAGATCCTGAAGTTGCGGTGGACTCGATATTGGGCGCTGTGGCCGGGCATTCAATGTGCTCGGACGTCCTGCTGCCTGCGTCCAGTGTCCTGCTGCCTGCCTGCTGCATTCAGCGCTTTTTGCCAGCATCCGTTTGTTACTTTGCGCTCCAAATGCCGGGGCCATTTATCGCCTTTTGGCCATAAATGCAATTGCCTGGAAAGACCATTTGTTGCCGGTCTGCTGGCTCCCACTCTCCACGTAGTCTCTGCTCCCCTCCTCCTGCTTGCGCACACATTTTTACAATTATTTGAGCAGCAACTGCAACGCAGCAGCAACAGAAAAAAAGAAAGAATTGAAAAAAAGACAGCAAACGAAAAAATTTCAAATTTAAATTTCGAAATTGAATTTATTGCCTTTTGTGCTGCACCTCTTTTCTTTTATATACCCTGTACGAATAGAGATAAGACGAGTTTGGTTAGGCTATGCTCAGGATGTATGCAGTTGGTAATAGGTATTAGCTAAAAGTAGATTTATAATTAATTAGCGCTCAAGTAAATCTACCCCGATTCTTGTAACGTAATAATTGATTCATGTTTTTAATATATGGTTTATGTTATATATAGATATTTTTTTTTATTTAGTCATTCAATTTGGTTTATTCTGTTACTCAGTCATCCAATCATTCAATAATTCAGCCAGTTAATCTGCTTACTGTCTGACTCAATTCATAGAGCGAATGAGCCATGAATGTGCAACTCATTAGCTGGAATCTCATTCAGTTTATGAATTCAGTCAGTTGGTCTGTCAGTCGCCAAATTGCCCTGTAGGCATCAATCAATCAATGAACCGTTAGCTATGATTAGCTATGATTATACTCTCAGACCGTCAGTCACTCAATCAGTAAGCCTGATACAAGGCAATGCATAACCAGATTATTAGCTCATTAGTTTGCCCGATAATAAGACTGTTAGTGTATTAGTTTGTGCGGCGTTCTGTCTGACAATTGTGTTAGTTCTGCGAGTTTATTAATAATAGTAAAGTATATCTATCAGTCAGTCAATATTGTATAGGTTGCCTATCTCAATGTGAGTTATACAATATTAGATATATAAGTCCTTGATCACTTTGTCTTTCAGTCTTTCCTTTCAATTCGTAAACCTATACTCCTGTTAGCATGAGTCAATGTCTCAGATCTGACAACCAGTTAGTCCGTCAGTCAATCATCATCAATAAATTCAATTTTTAGACATACATAGTTTCGCATTTTACAATCTGACAGTCTATGGACAATGATTAGATTAGTCAACAATAAATCTTTATTTTTATTGAGGTGATAAAATAAATAATATCTAGCTGGTAACAATAAATAATTAAGCAGTTAATCAGTCAGTCAAAAATTAAGTCAAGTCATAAAGTCTTTAAATTCTTCCGTCTCTAAATCAGTTCAAGACAATCAATCAAACAGATTTATATAAAATTCCTCGAATCTAATATATGAGAATTTTCCTATTCATTTACAGGGCAACTCTTTAATAGTCATCCATTTTCTTATTACCATATTCTAACTTGTTATGTTCTGTAACGTTTTCGTTTTTATTTTTTCTACTTTTCCTGCATTTTGTTTTCTTTCGTTTCATTCCGGCGACCTTTCAGTTAATTGTGATGAAGGATGGCCGACTGCAAGCTTGCGGCACTTATAAGGACATTGAGCTAAAGCAGCCGCAAATAATCGCCAAATGGAACTCGATAATTGCTAAGGCAAACGAAAATGCAAAGGACCAGCAACAAAAGTGAGTAGAAGCAGGCCTAGAGCTACTCTCAGAGTCAGCTTCAGCCTGAGCCTCCGCCTCGTCGTCAATCCCCAGAGAAAACTTTGTGTTTTCATTCGAGAGGAGACATAGAGATTAGTATATGACTGAAGCATTGTCAACGGCTTATTCCTTTGTGTATGAGGCAGAAATTGAGGGGATCTTTGTTTGCAGCCGAAGCACGCCCAAGCTTTTCTTTACTTTTACTTTTACTTTTGCATGAACCACGCCCTTTTCTCCTGCCTCAAATGGTTCGATTGCCATTAAAGTTCATTTGTGACAAAGCATAAAAAGAAATGATTGACGCAAAAACTGGAACAATGTTAGCATAATGAGAGCCGTTGGCAAGGGCTGCCTTTGTGGTCTACGCATTTTTTTTTATTGATTATTAAACAGACATCTATAGACAGACATCAGCTATATTTAAAGAGTTCTTAAAATGAAATATTTCATAAATTTGTTGAGATGCGCCAGAACATTTCTGGTGCATATGGCAAAATTTTAAAGCATTTGTGTGTGGAGTTTTTTCATCGCAAAATTCATTGGAAATGAGCAAACAGGAATCGTTCAAGTCGATATAAGAAATGTTATATAAGTTCAATTACAGACCTAACCCATAAGATAGTATGAGTATCATTATCGTTCACTAATTTCTATTGGTATGTTTAACACTCTACAAGAATATTTAAGTTTCTTATACTAAACATATATAAGTTTTATAAGACTGAAAAAACAGTATAAGTTTGTATAACACTCTATAATACTTTATAAAGGTATGCACTTCTGAAAAAATCAGCATCTATACAAGTCTGCTGGAACCCTGGAATACCTCGTAGAAATAGGTCTATATAACTCTGTATAGCCTTTAGTCCTTATAGTCTATAAGACTGTGTACGTCTTGTAAGTAGCTCCAGTAAGTATAGATCGAGTTGTAAATCGGTAGAAGAGTATATAAGTCGGCTTGAACGGCTCTGTCTTATAAGTGTATATACGTAGCTTTGTATTAGTGTGTAATAGTAGCTTAGTATAAGAGTGTCTAAGTAGCTAAATATCAGCTTTTTTGAATATGCATCAATTTTCTATTATATTGAAAAGTTTATATGACTCTCAAAGAGTTTTTACAATACTGTATTCGTAAGTCTTTATAAGATAATAAAAGTACGATATTATATAGAGTGTGAGTGAGTTAGGTGAGTGTATTAAAGTCAGTATACCATAAGTATAGTTTATTTTTTGTAGTTTATTTTCAATCAGCTACTAGTATGTTTAGTATTGACTAATTTTATCAAATAATATATTTACTAATTATATAAGATAACTGTGAGCTCATTAAGGAATATTTGTGTATAAGATATTCCTAATAGACATCAATAGAAAAAAATGTCTGTCTCCCTTTCACTCCCTCGCTCTCTCGCTCTGTCTCTCTGTCTATACGCCGCATTTAAAACTTGATTTGTAGCTGTCCGTTGAGATTAGACTTCCGTCCGTTTAGAGGCAGAGCTCTATGTGTCACACACAATATGTTTGATATGCAGTCAAGCGTATGGCATTTATTTCTTTGTTTTTCATTTTGCCACATATTGTTTGTTGTTAATAGAGTTCTGCAAGCGACTACAGCGCCACTCTGAGAATTTACTTGGATTGTATTTGTTCTTGATTGTCATCCATTTACAGTGCCACGGAGCGCACAGCTCGGGAGCGCTGGAAGCTATTCAAGAATGTCAGCAAATTGGGTTTGCAGCGCTCAATATCGATTAATTCGGAAACGGGAGGCGGCAATAACTCGGAACTGGATTCCAGTTGCTTGGATGGCAGCGTATCAATGTCATTTAACAATATGCTCAATGATGCCGTCGCAGAGGACGACGAGGACGATGATCTGCCCGCGGTGAGTGGAGCGAAAAGTGTTTTATGGCAATTAAAATTAGAAGAAGACGTGGAAATTGATGTGTTGCAAGACTTTTAATTTCTATATCGAAAATACTTTTTAATCGTATATATAGGAAAAGGCAGATTATAATAAACACTAATTTATTTTGTGTGAATTAAGATTCCGATTTTCCGTCAGGCCAGTAACGATCCTCTGCGAAATATATGGTACTTACCATAAACCACATTTTATAGAGAAAACGTAAATGCTAAATAGAACAAATTAAACATAGATTTAATGTATATTTATTTATATTTTTCATTTCAAAGTTTTCAAGGGTGAGGATAAAATTTTGATTTCAATCGAAATACAATCGTGCGCCTCAGGAATAAGCTCTGATGTGATATTTTGATTATGAGAAGAGCTTAATTTATGAAAAGTCTGCAAAGTTTAATTGAAAGAGAAACAGAAATTAAAAACAAACAAAAAATTAGAAGAAACTTTTACCAATTTATCTAAAAAAATATTCAAAATAAATAAATTTAAAAAAAAACACACACACAATTAAAAATTCATTCA